AAATATGTACATATTAATTACCTAATTTGCATAATTAACCAATTTTAAGCTTTCACACTGATATCTAAAGTACTAATTATTCCATTTCAATGAAACTTAGTACAAAGATGCTCTAGGACAATGTACAAACCTAATTAGTTTGGGGTAAAAATCTGTTCATATTAATTCCCTAATAAGCATAATAATTCATAATTTTTTGGTTCTAATCACATTTCAATTAAACTTGGAAACATAGATTTTCTGTTACATTGCGCAGACCTCATTAGTTTTACACTCAAATCTGCTCATATTAATTTTCTGATTTGCATAATTAGTTTTCAGCTAAGTAATTTCGAATTATATTTAATGTGTCTCCAATACTCTCAGCACATGGGAGTTCTTTCTAAGCTTTCTTTGATTTACAGTGGAAGGTGAAAATAGGTGTGCATAAAACCTGCAATAACCCTATCAATGTTCCTTGTACAACTAAATACATTACACAAATGTTTGTATGAAGTATCAAACAAAACAGAGAGATAAAATAATGACCCCCCCCCCCCCCATAGCGCTATATTGGATGAGGAGAAAGGTTTATAGCAAGGTAATGTCCATCGTCCGAATCGCACGGCCCTGTGTCTTCGACCTATAGGCCTCTACACGATACCGTGTGGGATCGCATAGGCTAATTACGTATCTTAAGCAGTGAGATCTGATTGGGCGAGCCTTGAAACAAGTCACCCAATCAGCTTGGACGTACCAAATTATAAAACAAAATTCCACTTCCTGTTTTTGTCGCTATGAAGACATCCTTCCCACACAAAACTGTGTTGATTGCCTGTACCTGATGAGGCTTGAGAGCACTAACACCAAAAACTTTCGCAATTTTATCATCACAAATATCCATTTTGTTTAAAATGAAACGCCAATAAAGGATTTGTAACACGCAAACTGATTGGACAATGATTAGCCACAACTGACTACTGGGGGGCGCTGTTAAAATACGCATATTTGATGGTCGTTCTGCCAAGGTCTGTTTAGAGACTTGGCCAAATAAACTTAGACCTTGGCTAGTGAAGATCATGGGTAATGTGTAAGGCGACTTCTCTGAATTAAATGACGATGTGGAAGATTCATTATTTAGTTAAATTTTGGCACTTTTTGTTGAAATGAATTTACTTTCGAATACAGGTTTACG